GCGCGTTCCTACTCCTTGATTACGGACATCGCTTTACCTGCTCTGGGGTTGAAGTTGAAAGTCACCGCTGAAAATGGAAATATTGTATTTATAGAACATGTTATTTAAGAAAAAGAAATAATAGAATGTAGACTAATAATAGAAAAATTCAGAATCTTTTGTGGGAAGAAAACGTCAATGTGCAAAGCAAAACTCACCGAAGTGGTTTTTAAAAATCTGAAATCATCGGCGAAATTATGGCACTTTACGAAAACGTAACGCAACGTAAGGCAACTCAATGTATCATAAATTCAATAATTGAGAATCTTATGGTCAAGATCCCTTAAAGGCGAAGACAAAATTTAACTTCTTCAGAAATACTTTTTTTCTCGGAACCACCAAACGTGAAAAAAAGATTCATCACAAGTAATTAATTAGCTGTCTTAGATTTGAAGAATAGAGATGAGGCTAAGTAACGACAAATAAATGTCGAAAATTATTCGGTAAAATTTTTAACTACCAAAAATTGCACACAACAATAGTATCAGAGAAAAATGACAACAGCTGACGACTTATGATAACAACAACAAGTAATTAACCACTAAAACAATCATAATTTAAAAAATACGACATTGAATAAGCAATTCATGTTGAAAAACGTAAACGCTTACAAAAAAATTGCTGATCCCAAAAGCTACATCCTCAATCAATCTGGTAGCGAAGTGGCACTTCGGCACGCGTGCTGGAAAATTGATACCCATCCTCAATGCTGTCATTTTATGTAATGGTAATTTAATGTACTGCGCATGGCAGAAGTTGTCACGCATCGAAAAAGCTTGCAGCTTGCAAGCTTGCACTTCGGAGTCGGCGTGCATGCTAGCACGGAATTGTATTGAGGATGCCAACGTTAAACAACATTGTCCTAGCATGCGTGCCGAAGTGCCACTTCGCTATCAGATTGATTGAGGATAGGCCTAAAGATATTACTAATTGAAAGACCAATTGACAAAAACGAACGATATTTTTGCCGTCAGCTGGCATACAAATCATGAGTGACACGACTTAAGTGTCACTATAGAATATAGAGCAACCTGGTGGTTTATGGAACCGGGTGCAGAACTAAATCTGGTACTGAGCTCAGCAACCGAACAGAGGACGTGCTACTCCACCACTATTTGGAAAATCTAACCCAAGAACAAGAAATATTCAATGACATATTAATGGCGTTTCCGATTGGTAGCTCTAGTGCGGAAGTAGTGCATTTTTTTTAAATTTCTGTCTTTTTCTTCTACAGGTCGATTAAAAGAATGTAAATACACCCAGTACGCACTGAATCTACCAATCGGAAACGCCATAAGATGTCATTGGAAATATTTGATTTCTTTACATGAAAACTTAAGCCGATTTCGCATCAGTCTAGTACCCCGGCTTGGTCTGTCAAACAAGTACCAATCAATTTCGGATGGGAGAATGATGCCGTCACATCAACTTTGGTAGGCGCTTTGGTCTGTCAAATGCCATACCGTGGTTTGTCTGGGAAGTGGAGGTTTGGTAGCTTTCTGTCTCACTTTGAAGCTACATCAATTTAATTCTAAATAAACATGTCAAAGTCAAAATGTACCAAACGCCCTTCCCACTGAATTCGGATGAGATTGTTGAGCTACGTCACCATACATCATTCATACCAGGCCCTGCGATCTCTCATTGCCAGTTATAAACCACATAATAACTCTTTTCCGTTTTTCTAGATGTCGCTGACAACCACAGAATTGTCAAAATTGTAAAATACCAGCACATCAAGAACAGGTCCGATGTCGATAACTGACATGTCAACATATGACAATATGCCAAAATATTCATTTGATCATAACTAATAATTCATAATGTTTTTCGTTCGCCGGTCTTGCATTTCATCTTTCTTTGTGTTGTCAAGTGTTCTTAAGTGATTTCAAAGTTGTTTTGTGTGTTTCAAGAAGAACTTCAAACTTTATAGATTGGAAGATCTATTTTTATCTTTGTTGATTAGATAAATGACAGGTTCAATTAAACATCAATCAGAACTTTGAATAAATATGTTAAGGATACCCCTAACCATCGATAAGGAAACTGTCTTTTGATCTAATTAACAAATTATCAATTAATTTAAGCAAACATTAATGCCCCAAAGTCTAGAATAAACGAATTTGAACAGACCGACAGTAATGCGAACAGGGCGCCATCTATCATAAAAAGTCCTATGTAAAGTAGGTGTCTGTAGCATCGATGCAAAACCAGTAAATAGTGATTTCCCGATATGGTAGATGGCGCTGGCTTGGATCAATTTTGTTGACAACAAAATTTACACTGAGATTCCATTCTCGACAGTTTATATAGTATTTATCTCTGACTCATACGTACCAATTGGTTAACCATTCGCCTACCAAACAGCAGATGAAAATCTGGGGCGAAATCGCCTACAGAATACATGAAAATTAAATTGACTATTTCACTAGAGTGTTTCACACTGGCAAAATGTCATCTGAACGGCCGATGTCCTACTGACAAAACTCCTACCTATTCCTACCAGGCCAAAACCAACATGATGGTTTTTCAGCGACAAAATTCTGTGTGGTTAGAGTAAAAAACTAGTGAGCACAGAATACATATCCTCACGGATGGAAGACAAACTGCCTAATATAATTTTGGGGAACAATGCGCCGTCACGCGGTGATGTGGATGCGATCCGAACTATTTATGATATAGGTTTCTATAATGATTTGATTACACTGTTGAAATAGATCGCCTTGTCAATTTTTTCAATATTAATTTCTCCTCTCTATACCAGAATTCGATTCAACGGCTTTTTCTTCCCAGTAGAACAAAAACGGCCAAACTTCTTGTGTTGTGTGTAAAATCTGATTTTTTTTTTAAATTAATAAACATTTTTTTCTGGATTTAAAATGCACACCAACACGAAGACGAATTCTAATTCAGAATTATTTTGAAATATTTTTTCGACAAATAGGTAACAGGTAAACTGCATAGGTAAACATTGTCTATGGGTAGACTGCAAAAATAATATGAAAAAATGCAAATAAAATATTGATTAAAATCGAGGAAAATCATTAGTCGTCACAATAACTAGTCACAAGTGAAAATAGAATTTATTAAAGATTAGGAAATTTTCAGGATCTGCAACTACTAGAATTATTGTTGATTTTTTATAAAGGAAAAATGTAAACACAGTCTAATAAAATCAGGGAAAAGTTAAATATGTAATGGAATTTTGAATGGAAAACTGAAAATAAGTGTGAAATAGTTAAAGGCAATTTTGGTACGTTACAAACTGTAATGTTCGAATAGCTACTAGTCCCCAGTATATGGACCCTTGGATTTTGTAACTCATGTACACGCCAAACTTTCTGAGCGGCTTCATAACACCAAGTCGGACAATATTTTTCATATCTCCACCCCTGGGCGATGGGACATTTCCGCGCTAGCTCTTCGTGAAGTTGTCGTTCTCACGTCCCTAAGGAAGTTGATACATGTACGTGTGGTTTTAATGCCAATCGACTGTTTTTTATATTACATTAACGATATCACATTTGTCGGACAAAAACCAAGTGGCTTTGGGGAAGGTCCGACGCCCCCAACATGTTGCTGTGGCGTCCCTAAGGAAGTTGATATATGTACGTGTAGTTTTAATGCCAATCGACTGTTTCTTATATTACATTAACGATATATATTATGTCGGACAATAATCACGTGGCTGCGGGGGGGTCCGACGCCCACAACATATCGCTGTGGCGTCCCTGAGGAAGTTGATACATGTACGTTTTTTTTAATACCAATCGACGGTTTTTTACATTACATTAACGATATCACATTTGTCGGAGAAGAAATTTGAGACAATCAATGAAAAAATTAAAATTAGTTTGCCTTAACGCAACGTGCATGTTAGTCAGTTTTATTATTTACCTACTTTGTCAAATACCTGTGGGGCCCTGTGTCATATTCGCTAATCTGTTTTTCTGATAATTCGCCGAGTATTTACGGAAATTATCCAGTGAACGGTCGTTGAAAACCACGCGTGTGAGAAAGAATGGATATTCAGTCAAGTTTTTTGTGCGATCTCAGGAGTGGAGATCCTAAATTTCGGCAGAAATCGATCAAAAGGATTTTTGTTATCCGATTGAATTTATTACTCATTTCTTTTGTCCGACATTTACACATGTTTTGAAATTATAATGCCACAGCGATATGTTGGGGGCGTTGGACCCCCCCAAAGCCACGTGATTATTGTCCGACATATGTGATATCAATAATGTAATATAAAAAACAGTCGATTGGCATCAAAACTACACGTACATGTATCAACTCCCTCAGGGATGCCACAGCGAAATGTTGGGGGCATCGGACCTTCCCCAAAGCCACATGGTTTTTGTCCGACAAATGTGATATCATTAATGTAATATAAAAAACAGTCGATTGGCATTGAAACTACACGTACATGTATCAACTTTCTTAGGGACGACAGAACGACAACTTCTTCACGAAGAGCTAGCGCGAAAATGCGAAAATGTCTCATCGCCCAGGGTCGAGATATGAAAAATATTGTCCGACTTGGTGTAATGAAGCCGCTCAGGAACTTTTTATTTAAAATATAAATATCTTTCATTAATTTCATAACATCTAGTTCTATTATTTTAATGCCAGTTTTCTCGGAATTATCCAAAGAATTATATATTATTCAAGACCGTGTTATGTTGTTTCGTAGTGGTTCTATTCCACCTTTAGCAAAAAAAAAAAAAAAAACAGACGGACAATGAACCGATAATGGAGGGACTTTCCGGTAGGAATCATTTAGTGTAATCACAAAGCTAGTTCCCAGCAAGTTTCAATGGGCTTGTTTGAGTCTTCATTATAAAATTATTTGAACATGTTGATTGTAAACATTTATAGTAACCAAATTTCTGCTATTCTTTCTCTCTTTTTTTTCTTGTATTGCTAAAAATACCAATACTTATTTAACTCTCACTTACCAATCACAGTAAAGTTAACTTTGCTATTTCTAGTTGGGGAATTTTTAAAATCGACGCGACATCGATAAACACCCTCGTCGGCTTGTTGAATATTATCAATCACAAGTGTGGCAGGATTGGTGGATGCTCGAAAAAATGCTCTGTTGCCAAATACGGTAGGCGAAGACCACAGTTTCGCATCTTTGAATGTTCTGCCTCTAACATCGAAACTGAAACAAAATAAACATATCTATGTTAATTTCGCAAACTTCAGGGTATGATAATAATCACATAAGTTTCATGTTATGTCAATTATCAAAGAACTAAAGGCTTTATGATGAACTTTCTCTTGAATATTCAAGCTAGCAAGTCATTGTTTCCTTCAAATAACTTGCGCTCGAATTTGTGTTCTCTACTGACCAGCGCGGTTTGCCTGGAATTGTGGCCTATCTTGCAATATTCAAATTTGTGTTTACCGTAAATACAATTAATGTCGAATGATACTTTTTGCACGTTATTGTTATTGTATTCTATTGTATTCGATCATTAACTTGATACTCTTAAATAATTACTGCAGACTTGTTCAATATATACATAATTTTAATTAGTAAACATGAATAAATGTAGGAACCCATTATTAAATATTGTAATAAGTCCATAAATTTAATAAAGGAATTTAATTATAATATTATAGTCAAGTATAAACATTGCTATGAGATTTAATTAAACGTATCACTGTATTAAATACAAATTTTCATTATAGTTATTTTAAATCAGTAATTTAATAAATTGGGCATTAATTTGGCAAACTTTAAGCTGCGTGCTATGCTGAGTACGCGGCAGTTGAATATAGTTTTCCGGTGACTTGTAGCTAATTACAAATTTTGAAAGCTGTAAAATTGTGCATCGGTTTATTATTTGAGGAATAAAATGCTGTCATATTTTGTTATTAGAGACATAACTTCTCATTATAAAATACCAACACTCGGAAATTGGTGCTGACAAGTATGTTTGCAACTACTATGGCCATAGAACATTTTAATCATTGCAATCATAACATCTACTGTAGTGTTAAATTTAATTGAAAATGTCGTAGGCTTCGAGCTTGAAAATATATTGTGTCTTGACACATTATAGAAACTGATCAATTATACATTTTGAGTATATTGCAAAAGAATTTAATATTACCCAGAAGTACGTACCTACTTGAACAATTTGATGTATTTATCGAAAACTGCAGATCCCCATTTATAGCATCTATAAACTCCTCGAATTTCAATTTCCACTTCATCCCGACCAGATTTCGCGTCAGCCAGAGAGACATTCAATAACTGCGACGCGGCGAGAAAGATTTAATAAATAATATCCCCGGTTCAGTTCAAATTCGAATGTTTTCATTTAATAACATTCTGTATGGCACTTCTTCTAATAACAAAAGTAATATACGAAAACGCGGCAGCTAGGTTTGGCATGGCAGGCATAGAAGCTTTGATCTCTCTCAGAAACCAACGCAGCAACAGAGCTTGGGTGCACTCTCATTATTGGTTTTCTCGGTGCTCTTATTTGACACTCTAAAATCCAATATGAGCTACAACAGTTTTCAATATACTCGACAGTTTGAAGGAGGACGTTCTATTAACCCGGTGAAAACGAGTTTTCCAAATTAAATTGGTAAATTACTTAGTAATGACATAGAATTTGTAAAACATCTTTCACGAGGTATTTAATGTATAGGTACTCGAATATTTCAAAGCTATTATAAATATGCTAAGGCAGGTTTTCTGTATAGAGAAACAAAAAAGCCGGCAAAACTACTATCAATTTGTATTCTCTTCTATCAAAGGTACCCTAATACATTAAATAAATTGCTTGGCCGTGACAATTTGAATTAAAACAACCATTGCGCCTGAATAAGTCTTAAAAAGTTGTCAACTAACAGTAAAAACCCCAATTAATTTTCGGAGAAATAAAATAGCTCTGACCTAAATAGATGCCTTTATACAAATTATAATGGGCTATAGTTATTAGTTAAAGAGAACATGAGATAATTGGATATACAGGGTGTCCCAGAATATGTGGGCAATCTCTCGGTTTCAGATAGAACACAAAAAAATAACATGACAACTTCCTATAAAAAAAAATTCCTACGGCCCCCCCTACAAAATTAAGTGCCCCTAAAGGACGCCTCTGAAAATCGGTTTTTTGTTGATAACTTTCAAAATACTCCGTGTAATTTTTTTTCTTTTAGTATGATGGATACTAGATAAGACCAATTAAAATGGACCCTCTGAAACACACTTGACCAATCTAGTTTGCCAGGGACGAACTAGCTTTAACGCAATAATGACACTGAGGAAATATTAGTAGAAAGCATTAATTTTCACTGTCGCGAAATAAGGGCTAATATTGAAGCATTGTCGAGAGTCGAATAATCTTTCATTAAAATAGGTATGGAATGCATAAGATTAGAAGGATTCCATGTTGATTCGACATAAAAAATTATTTAATAAAAAACCATTAATACACAAAAACAGATTTTTCTCGAAACCAGCTCATTTTTAGTTCAAGGTTGAAACTATCTAAAAATATTATTGCTATGCCTATATCATAGAGGGTGTAACAAAAATTAGCATTATTGTGTTAAAGCTAGTCCGTCACTGGCAAACTAGATTGGCCAAGTGTGTTTGAAAGGGTCCATTTTAACGGGTCTTATCTAGTATCCATCATATTAAAAGAAAAAAAAAAATTACACGAAGTATTTTGAAAGTTATCAACAAAAAAACAATTTTCAGAGGCGTCCTTTAAGGGCACGTAACTTTGTCGGAGGGGGGGGGGGCGTAGGAATTTTTTTTTATAGGAAGTTGTCATGTTATTTTTTTGCGTTCTATCTGAATCCGAGAGATTGCCCACATATTCTGGGACACCCTGTATAAATAATAGGTGCATGATGTATTTTATCACTTTTATGGGTATGATATACATTTGTTTAAAGTGCTACATGAGAAGCAAAGTAGGAGTAGAAAATAATGAAATACTCGAATATTGTGGTGGATCAATCTTCTCAATTAAATTCCCTTGGCAATAAAACTGGTCATTGGAATCGTTGCTCTATCTCATAGAGACCGGACCAAGCTACTAGACACATATAGGACGAATTAGCTTGTACCCAGTTTAGGCGAATCGAGGCGGTGCTACCGAAGCCGAGTAAAGCCTGACTGATGAAGATGCACGAATTTTAATACATGCAGGGACGATCAATGATGTACCGTGACGATTCTGCAGTGAAATGTGTATCAGTCAACTGGTCCTATTGAAGCTTATGTGTCTAGTAGCCTAGTCCTGTATGTATATTAATTGTTATGGCAAGAATCGATAACGATAAGAATTCGTTGAAAAGCCAGACACTCAAGCAACATTTATTTAGGTTAGTATTTATAATATGATGAACGATTCGCGCAAAATTAGTTAGGATGGATTTTTAATTTAAAAGCAATGAATCATGTGGCAAACCTCATCCATGAATAGGATGATTTAAAAAATGCTCTATGGCATGGTTACCTGAAAATGCCCTCGCTTAATCTACGATAGTTGGTATGTTGTAAGAATCGTCCATACCTGCAAAAAAGTCGTTTTAAATTCATGTTAGTGAAAATTAGAAAATTTATAAGCAATGAACTACCCGACAAGGATTTCGATGCTAGCTTTGGCAAAAGAGAGAACCCTAACCCAGTCAAGCTATTATTTTAACTGTTATCTGCGAATCCGACAGCAACGGAAAAAGCCTCACAAATCCCGTAACTTTTGTCACTCGGAGCAGATTTATTTAATCGCATTAAAACGCTCATATTCTTACGACACCAGGCGCCGCCGCGCAAACTTTCTTGCCCTCCTTTAACTTGATTTAAGTGTTTTATTAAAACAACCACCTCTCGAATCTCGAGAGTTCTTCGTAGCTTTTGTAACTTGGGAATCAGATGAATATTCATTGCAGGAGAGCAGACTTGCTGATGGCTGAGACAATAAACCTTTTTCACTACTTAATGTTAAGTTAGCGTTCTAATGAAAACGTTTGTAGCTGTAAATTCTTCATCTCGGATGGGTGCGGTATTAAAAGCTACCCCCGGAGTTAGAAGAGAACTTTATGCAATATAACTGAAACGGCTGGAAATGTGGATGTGTGTCGGGATTAATATCAAATTTCCAGCAGATGAATTTTTTTTTAACGGTAACGTTATTTTTAGTGGATGCTTTGCAGATACTTTGATGTAATTGCAAAAATTAGTGTCGTCAATTACAACAAGCAGTTCATAATAGTTTTAAATTTAGTTCTTGCAATGCGGAAATTATTTTTCCTACAGCCGTGCGGAAAAATCAATTTTCCGCACTGATATGCGTGCGGAAAATGAGTTCCCGCACGAAAAATTTTTCCGCACGGCTGTCAGCGCGGAAAAAATTTTACCGCACGGCTGTCAAATAAAAAAAAATTCTACATTTTTTTATGCCTGTAGGAAAGTTATTTACTTAACAAGTGCGGAAAGTTATACATATTGTTTTTTTGTTTGTTTTTGGCTTTATTGATAAAAGAAATGGTCAAAAATGTGGTTTTCCAATTAAGTTTAATAACGCAATAATTTAAACAACAGAACATTAACAATTAGTTTTATTTTGAGTAAAATTAATTATTTATTGTATGCAACTCATTAAAGAGGTCGATATTGGCCAGTACAAAAACCTAAAAGCTTTCTTGAAGAAAAAAAAAAACGGTGGAGAAATTTCGAAAAGATCTAAAATTTTTGAGAAACATGACATAAAGAGAAAAACTGAAAAAAAAAATTTTAAAAAATCAGTGCGTGAAAAACTCTTTTCGCGCACGCCGTGCGGTAAAAAAGATTTCACGCACGCAGTGCGGAAAAGTGGTACTTTCCGCATGCAAATCAGTGCGTGCCAACGCGTTTTCCGCACGCTCGTAGGAAAAATATTGTACCTAACACTTGCGGGAAATATTTTTCGATCTTGTATTTTGTGATCTAGTATTGGGGGTGTATGGGCTGCGCTATAGAGATATCACCTCTGGGCTGGTTGCATCAAGTGTTGTAGACTGGAGAAGGCTCCAAACAATTGGTCATCACGGCACAGTCAACTCTCACTTATGGCTTCACGTGTCACACTCTGGAAACATTACATCGGCCTCGACCTGCGAGGCTTAACTAAGTGAAGGTAGTGAAAGTAG